GTGTGTATGTGTGTATATGCACATGAGTGCGTGCGTACACACACACATACACACGGGGTGGGGGAGCAGTGGATATGTAGTGGTTGTCTCCTTATGTCTCTCCACATTGTCCCCTACATTGTCCGTGATGGAACACATTCAAGTCACCCTGAAGCCTTTAGCAGCAAAGCTTTAGTGGCCCTGCAAGGTTCCATATTTGACCTAGGAGGTAACTTTGGGGTCTTCCTTCCTGAACATTTTGTGTTGTGCCTATGAAACCTGACATCAACCAGCACTTCTCCTTTGTCCAGCTGCCTGCCTTCTCCCCCACCCCCATCAGGAATTGCCTGTCTAGTCTACACGTGCTCTAGAGACACGGGGAAAATGGTGTCCATGGAGCTACAGTGACTTGGCTGAGGCTCCATGGAGCAGGCTCAGGCCTGGACTCTGTCTTTTCTATCACCCTAACACCTTGCCAGCTGAAGGTGTCCCTGGCTACTGTGTCCCCTAAGTTGGCCATTTGGTTAACCAGACTTGTCATCTCAAGGCTCTTAGTGATGTGCTACCACTAACCAACCATTCTTCTCATTCCTCTGAGCCCACCCCAAACCCCTGTAAGGGGCAGGGACTACAGCTTCAGGACCTTGAGTCCACCGAGGACCTCTGTTAATCCAATTGTGTGGGCTGCAAAGCAGGCAGGGGACGGGGCTCTCAAGTTAATCCCTGGGAACTTGGCCTGAGAAGTGAGACAATCCAGTGTGGCCGCATTCTGCATAAAGAGCAGAGTGGGCTGAGACGGAAAGCCTATGGGCTGCTGAGTCACCAGACTGCACCACATGTTTCTCTGTAGTGCCTGGAACCAGGGTCTGTTCAGCCAAGCTTCTGATGCCACAACACTCATGGGCATCCGGGGCCAGGGTTGGGTCTGAGGGGTTCCCCATTCTTCATGCAACAGAGATGCTGGGTGAATCCAATAGGCACACCCCCAATTCTCCAGTTAGAGCATTACTTTCAACATTCCTGGTCATAGGAGAATCCTGATGTCCTGTGCCCTGTTCAGCCAGGTTCTGCCCAATCTCCAAGTGCACAGCCTGGAATTCTCATCCCCAATATATATATAAACACAACTTGCCACCGGCTGAGTATTCAAAGAAAGCTAGCCTGTGGCCATCCACTGTTCATGGGCCTCACTACCTTACTCACCTCACACACTCCCCCATGCCCTGACTCCTAATAAACTGCTACATGTTGACATTTTCATAATTTGCTAATTCAGCATGTCCAAATGTTTGATGAGGAGTCTTTTTGACTATCCCACCTCTACAGTTCCTTCAGACCCTAAAGGAGTAAGGGTTAGTATCTAAAGGTGTGTTCTGGACCACTCCAGATGGACTACATTTGAACTACCAGCACTACCCTCCAGAGCTATTCTGATGCACACTAGCATCTGAAAGCCCTCGGATTAGTCTTTGTGGAACACCCTGGGGGGCTGTGCTGGGGAGCACTTGGGAAGGGATCAGCTCCCACTCGGAGGCAGGCACTGCAGTTGTGCACAGTGTCTGAAGGTCTGGAGCCACTGCTACTCAGGGAGCTGCAACACCACAGAAATGTTGAGCTGGACTCGTCAGAGGGAGGATGCTTACTTGTGCTGGAAGGGTTTTGTGGAGGAAGTGCTCCCCTGTGTTTCTGAGTCCGGGAAGGGTACTCTGTGGCAGAGAGGAAGCCAGTCCCATGCATTCTTCAGCCCAGAGTGACCTCTGAGCTGCCACAAACAGGATGAAGTCCAAGCCATACAGAGTCACTTCCTGTTACCCATGTGGCAATGGGGAAACTGAGACTCCCATAACAGGAGCCTAAAGAATTGTGGGATCAGGATGTGCTGGGGTGAGCCTAACCCTGAGCTCCTTCCTCTCTGCCCCCAGTGTGACATTCACTTCTCTGTGGGGTCACATGGGTAGGGCAGCTGGCTCCTGGTATGAGGAGGAACCTGGAGGCAGAAGTCAGGTAGCTGAGGGAGTCTGCCTGAAGCCTCCACCACTTTGCACTTCTTTGATGTCTGTGGGCATTAAGAGAACTGAACAGATGATGTATGTGACGCGTATCTATGTATGGTGTGTGTAGTGTGTATATATATGACATATGGTGGGCATTCATATGATATGTGATGTGTGTATGTGTAGTGTGTATATGTATGACATGTGTCATGTATATGTATGTCGTATGTGGTATATATGTGTATGGTATGTAGTATAATATATATGGTTCACAGTATGCATATATATGGTATATGCAGTATATTTTTGTATGGTATGTGTGTATATATAGTGTGTATATGCATAATATGTGTTGTGTGTGATAAATAGTGTATAGTGTGTGTCATGTATATTGTGTGTGGTCTGTATATGTATGGTGTGTGATATGTATATATATGGTATAAGTGGTATCTGTATTATAGTATGTGGGGTATATATGTATGATATATATGGCATGAATATGAATAGTATATAGTGTGTATGTGTATATGGTATGTATATATATGTATATATATGGTATATATGCATGCATAGTGTGTATATGTATGGTATGTAGTATGTATGATATGTGTGGGGTGTGTATATATATATTGATATATTGTGTTTTATATATATATATATGTCTTGGTTAGTGTTACTATGGCTATTATGAAACTCCATAGCCAAAAGCAACTTGAGGAGGAAAGGATTTATTTGACTTACATTTCCACATCACTATTCATCATTGAAGGCAATCAAGCAGGAATTCAAACAGAGGAGGAACCTGGAGGCAGGAGGTAATGCAGAGGCCATGGAGGGATGCTGCTTGCTTGCTTGCTTGCTTGCTCCCCAGGTCTTACTTACTCAGCCTGCTTTCTTATAGAAGCTAGGACTTCCGGCTCAGGGATGGCCCCACCCACAATGGGCGGGCCCTCCCCCTTCTATCACTAATTAAGAAAATGCCCTACAGGCTTGCCTATATCTGGATCTTATGGAAGCATTTTTTTTCATTTAAGGTTCCCTCCTCTCTGATGACTTTAGCTTGGTGTCAGGTTAACATAAAACTATCCAGTATGATATATATATATATGGTATATGTTTGGAATATGTGGTTTATATATGTATAGCCTATATATAGAGAGAGAGAGTGTGTGTGTGTATGATACATGTGATGTGTATATGCATGGTGTATATATATATGGTGTGCATGGTATGTATGTGTGTGATATGTGTGGTATCTACATGTACAATGTGTGTGGTATGTGTACATAGACAATCATGAGCTACATAGTGAAGTTTCAGTCAACAGCAGACTACATGTACCACACCGGGCACATAAGATCGTAGTAAAAAAACCCTGTTACCTAGCAACATCATAGCCATTGTTTCTTCTCACACAGGGCATTTCCTGAAGCACAGTGGCAGTGCCTTTACATTGGTGCTACTGCGCTGCCCAAATCAAAGTCCAGGTCATGCTGGGCTCTGTATTACAGCACAGGTCATGCTGTAGCTGAAAGCAGGTCATCACACACCAGCTTTGTGGCAGGGTGCATGGCTCCTCACACACCAACTTTGTGGCGGGGCTGTGGTCCCTCCTCTATGTTTCATCAGTACTGCCCAAGTACATATGGAACGTGCCCCTTTCCACAAAAGCTAGTGGCTCTGAGTAATGGTGGTCCTGGGATAGACTAATCTTCAGAGATAATCTGTGATTGGGTCCCACGAGAGGACCTGGGACAGCACCAGATAGCTAAGCAAGAGGTTGTAGGACACCTAAAGAAAAGCAACGTCTCCTATTGGTCCAGTTTGCCTGGGTCAAATAGAACACTGGGTCAGTTTCTTCAGTGTCCCCTCCTGTTTGACTTCTGTAACCACAGCTTAGTTTTTCTGTCCTGAAACTTTATGTAAATTACATCTTATAGCCAATGCTCCTTTGTCTTTCTTCTTTGTATTGTCTGTGGGGTTTGTCTGTGCAGTGGTGTGTTGCTTGCGTTTGTTTATTCCCCCTGTTGTGTCATAGTCGGCTCTGTGAACATGGCAGCTCTCCTGTGCGGTCAACTGTTGGCAGGCATGTGGGTGGCTCCCGGCCCAGCAGTACTGCGATGCTGCTGCTGTATTCTTGTGTGGTCGTCTCTAGGGATGTCTGTACTCATTTCTGTTGTAAGCACGAGTTTACACCTAGGGATGGGCTCCTGCGTCTCTGACCTGCACAGTGTTGGACATGACGTTTGGGAGAATGATGGAGGCCAGGCGATCAGAATGAAGTTGGGGATTTGGAGGGTTTTCTGGGGTGATCAGCACCCAGAGCAGGAACCACATTATAGCAATGGTACCAAGTAAAGATTTTCCTGTCTATGGGGTGAGCCATGTAGGAAGCCTCCAAGACACAGTGGATGAAAGCAGGAAGTGCAGCCTTGGTCTGTGAGGCTTCTCAGGAGGCAAGGCTTAAATGATTAAAAACTCCACTCCTGCATGGATGCTTCTGCATGCCTGGCTCATTGGAGCCCCTGGCCAGGAGGAACCACTGTCACCAGGCAGTGGTGGCGAATGCTATACAGTCGCACAGAGTGTCTGTTGGGTATGAGGCATTGAGAATGGATTCCAGGCTTTAGCAGCAGAGATGTGGGCATGTTGAGTCCTGACCACACACCTCTGGAAGCAGCATCTCAGTGAGGGCCTGTGCATAGGAGGAGGCCTGCAGTCTCCAACAGTGTCCTCCTGCTGCTCCTGCTGCTCCTGCTGCTCCTGCTGCTCCTGCTGCTCCTGCTGCTCCTGCTGC